GATGACATAGTTGAAATAATCTATGTTATATGTTCATGTGTTGTAAGTCATGCTTGTGAGTTTCATCACTTAGTTTATCTAAAGAGCCTTTGTACCATCAATGTACACATGTCTGTTTCGGATTCCATGACAACATGATGGTCTTTTACATTTGGTGTTTGTTTTATTGTGACAGGAAAGCTGATGAACATCCACCCGTCCCTCCTGCCTTCATTCAAGGGGGTGAACGCCCAGAAACAGGCTCTCCAGGCTGGGGTGCGGGTCAGTGGCTGCACGGTCCACTTTGTAGCAGTAAGTACGACACCAGACAAAGAGGGTATATGTGTTCGTTCTTTATTGTCCGATTGAGGGAAGAAACATTTTACAAGTCATCACTGTTATTGCAGTTATGGTATCAAAGCTTAACACAGTGTAGTCCTAATGAAATGTAACTTTTAACTAAGTAGTATCCTTTAAAAATGTTGCTACGACATCACGTATACCAGACTTGCCTTTTCTGAAGATTTCCTAGTTTCACAGCCGTTGTTTCGTTCATCCTTCTTTCAGGAAGAGGTGGATGCGGGTGCCATTATCGTGCAGGAGGCGGTGCCCGTGCTGAGCAGCGACTCAGAGGAGAGCTTGTGCGACAGAATCAGAGAAGCTGAGCATCGAGCCTTTCCTGTCGCTCTGGATTTGGTGGCAAGCGGCACGGTGAAACTCGGAGAAGACGGGCACATCGTGTGGAAATCCAATCCACAGAGTTAAAAAACAAACCCAGATGAATGCCACTTTCCTTCTGTTACCTAAAACTAGTTCCACACAATTGACAAAGCATCAAACAAGGTCAAGATGGTCACTTTTTACTGTACTAACACCTGCTAACTGTCCTTTCTTTTTCAGACTGTCATGCTAGATGGAGATAGGTAGATTTCCGTGGGATGCTTAAAGCTTGCATGCATCCATTTCAACATCTTGTGCTTCATACTTGACCTGAATTACAGAGTTAAAGAAAACACCCACATTTTCATTACTGCTAGTTCTACAAAAGAGACACTAACAGCGTCAAACAAGGTCACCTTTGACTGCCTTAACACCTGCAAACTGTCCTTTCTTTTTCAGACTGTTATGCTAAATTGAAATGGGTAGATTGTCTTATTTTTCGTGGGATGCTTAAAGCTTGCATGCATCCATTTAATAGCAGCATTTCAACATCTTGTGTGAAGAGGCCTCATACTTGACCAAAGTTACATTCCAATGGTTTATTTTTAATCAATGTTAGTTGCACTGGAATTGACCTCCTAATAAAAGTCATATTTGTAATGCTGATGGATTCTATTAGTATAATAATAATGCATCTTTGAATGTCTGTGTAGTTGTTATTTCATCATTAAACCTGCATCGGTGAATGCATTAAAAATGATTTTGTGTGGCATTTTGTTTATTTCATTTTACGAATTTCACATAAAATCAGAAGGACTTTAATCTGGGTTGATTATTTGCACACAAAGTGGAGTTTGAACATGAACATGAAATAGTTTTATTTGCATTATTTAAGGTATGAAAACACTACACCAGTCCGCCAATGCAAGAAGAAGTAGAATATACCCTGGTAAGAAATGAACCAAATACGCCACAAAAAAGATGTGACTTTTTTTGGTTCAACACCTAAATTAATGAGTTATTATTATTATTGCATACTCGTTGTATTTGTATGTAACACTGCCTGTCGGATCGATTAGCTCAGTGTGTCAAAAAAAGCTCTCAGAAAGCATGAGGTTGTCAATTCAACTCTCACCGTGTGCAATACGTTTATCGATTTTGTCGTTAGATCCAACAGCCAAAGAGAAGAAACCAAAAGGTCTAACAAAACGTATGAAAGCATGTCTGACCGTACAGCTCCGTGTGATAGATGTTGGGTTAGGAGATCTGAGGTTGTAGGTTCGATTCTTATTAGGTGCACTACATTTATGGGTACATTTTCCAAAAAGTAGAAGACAAGACAGCTGAGATGTGTTTAGGTGCGACAGCTCAGAGTGATACGAGTCTGGTTAGAAGATCTGACGTTGTGAGTTCAGGTGCAGTAACTTTATACGTCCAGTTTCCCACACTGTGAAGAGGGATCAGTCATGTAGCTCAGAGTGGAAGATGTGTGGCCTGTAGAGCTGAGGTTCTGTGTTCAATTCCTATCTTGGGTCGACCGTAAAGAAAATTACTTTGAAAGGTTATTAAACGTTTCTTTCTTTGAGAATAAATGAGTAAAACATGGAGAGGTTGTGACACAAACACTACTCAGATCTCAGATACAAGACTGTTCTGAAGTACTGAACGCTTAGGTTCGATCCTCATGAAGTGCAGTGGTATTTCCAAATACAACACCCACCCGGTGCAAAAGTCCAAGACCCAAAGTGTAGAATTAGATTACCAAAGGTAACCCAGGTGAAATGGCTCACAGGGATAAAACACTGCCTTGAAGACAGGAGGTTGAGGGATCAATGCTTATCATTTGCAGTGGCTTTTAGGGTAAAGCACCCAAGATAAGGAATTCAAAGAAGAGAACAGTTTTACATTAACATCTGGTGGCGGTGCAATTTCGTTACATACTATACTATGACTTTCTACACATTGACTTTGTTTCACAACCCCAACCAAGAGAAACTCTCCACCAGAACATTGACTCAGGTCATTTAGCTCAGAGTGATACAAGACGGATCAGAAGACCAGAGGCTGTGGGTTTGATTCTTAGAGCGATCAACCCAGATTAAAGAAGAGCAGAGTTTTACATTAACTTGAGACCATGGTAGCTGTAGCAAACTCTATCAATGGCCACTCACAGGCTGAGACCTGATAGCTTAGAGTGATACAACGCTGCAGGTTTTGGGTTCGATCCCCATGAGGTGCATAGATCTTTGGAAGTTCAAGACCCAAAGTGTAGAATTACATTACCAAACGAAACAATATCAACGCAGGTCAGATCCAGAATCCGTAAGGAGTAACAGTTACTGGTCAAGTGGCTCAGAGGGATAGAACACAGACTGTGAGACAGAAGGTTGTTGGTTCAAGGCTTTTCAGGTGCAGTAATCTTTAAGGTTCAAAAACCCAAATGAACAGGTCATAAGCTCTTCGAAACATAATCATCTCAGGACAGATAGCTCAGAGGGATAAGTGTCAGCTCAGAATACCTGAGGTTGTGTGTTTGAAACCTCGTGAGGTAAAGTGATTTTTAAAGTGCTCTACTCAAAATGAAGAAGATAAATGCGCCCGGAGCACAGGTCTTCATGTACATGTGTTGGTGGCCGGATTGGGTCTGTCCTCGGCATTAAGGCGCCCGTGTCGAGGTTCAGGTCCGCTGCTTAGCATGTACGGGGTTCGATACTCAGAGTAGCTGAGTTAGGCAGAGTAGCTGCGGCAGTTAGTGCACAGTAGATGAGGCAGTTAGTGCAGAGTAGGTGAGGCAGAGTTAGTGCAGAATAGATGAGGCAGGTGGTGCATAGGAAGTGTAGGGTTGCGTAGTGTTGAAGGGTTGCGTAGCATAGGAGAGGCAGGTAGCGTAGGATAAGAGAGACAGGGGGAGTAGGAGAGGGAGTAGCGTAGGATAAGAAGGCAGGTAGCATAGGGTAGGAGAGGCAGGTAGGAGAGGCAGGTAGGATAAGAAGGCAGGTAGCGTAGGATAAGAGAGACAG